TGCTAACTCATTTTGCGCGCTGATAAAATCCATCCTGAGCATGGCTCTGTGTTTGCTAGGTAACAGACTCCATATTTATCCAATGGGGCTGAATTTTGGATATGTTATAGTACACACCCATTGGAACAACTTTCATGAAGAATGCGGCCTCATCCGAGCTGTGTAGGTTGCTGAAACAAATATTGCAATGTGACCTACGGAACTGGACTGGCAAGGGGCTGTAGCCAAAATGAGTTTGTCTTTAAGCTCTTCATCCATTCATCCAAATTAGGCCTTAACATGCTTGAATTGCATGAATTATGCTCTCTTGCTCTATTTGCCTACAAAACACACAAAGGGAGGCAAATAACTCAGAATTATAGGAAACTAAGCAAAAGAAGTAAGTAAATAGGGCATGTATATGTATGAAATTATGAGCTTAACATATTGCTACTCAATGCTTTACAAGTTGTGAAGTGAGGATATACAATGAGACATCCTCCTTGTATAGAGATCTTATCCCACCTACCACCACAATAGAGGGCTAAGATACATTGTCACCAACCGGGATCTACCTACTACTGTCACCAATCGTAGTCTACCTACTACTGTACATTGAATCTAGACATGTGGGCTAAGAGGCCTAGCATGATCCGTCCGACGGGCTAGGCCTTGAGCTTCTCTTGTGGGGCTTGACTTTCACAAATGGATCCTCTAGGTTGGCCCCATAGTTGTTGGGTTGAGCCTTCAACATGCGGGCTATGACACTAATGACACTTCATCGCATTTTAAGTAAGCTGATGGGCACCCATTAATTGTGCCAAAAGGTGGGGAGTAAAGATCACTCATTTGAGAACGATCCCTGGCTTCTTCTCTTCTTTTTTGTTTTCTTGGTTGCATCTACCAAACGAGCAAACTCTCATGACAATCTTCTGAGGGAGGATAGCTCGAGCAAAGTACCCTTATTTTGACTCCCCATTGGGCTTGGCTCGAAAATGAGCAGCTTAATTTGCTGTCGTTTTTACATGGAAAATGAGTAATGCTAGAACCACCAAAACAAATCCAGGATTTTATGGATTTTTGTTGAATATAATTAGTACCAGTGTAGAATTGGACCTCATCATCATAGTACCAGTGTTCTACTTAGACGGTTATAAGGATGGTTCAATATACAACAAGACCCCGGAACTCTGGAGAGGCTGAAAAATCTGAAACTTAACAGAGTTAGATATGTTTACAGTTTCTAAAAATGGACAGCCAACACATATCACATACATCAATGAGTACATAAGAAACAAAACATTTACACCAATTTGGTCTACTGGTATTTCTCTTCCCAACGTTGGAAGGTCTCAAGTTCAAATCTTCCCTCCACCATTGATAAAAAAAAATTCAAAATACAAATAAAAACAAAACAAAAAATTTAGCCATGTAAGAGGCTAAAAGAAGAAGAATATATTTCTTATTAGGAAGATCAAACAAACATGAAAAAAGAAACTATATTAGAATAAGATTCAACAACTAATTGAAACTTTTCCCTTTCACTTCTGGGCTATCATCTGCTGTTGATGAGGTAAAATTACGTCGTTCATCAGCATTGGCAGTAATAACTGGCATCCATACATCAGCAGTACCACTCAGCAGTGACTTCACCTGGGGATCTGCAGCCATCGCTGAAGATATCATCTCATCTACATCATCCAACTTCGCCGATAACTTATCCAACTCCTTGGCTATTTCCAGCTGTAAAGATGGTATGCAGATATACCAACAGAGAGAAGACATTGAAATGTTTATTTCATATATAGAATACATGGTTGTATTGTTTCTGATATGGTAAAACTTAGAGGAGAAATGAGGGAAACTTGGAAAAGAGAATGTATGTTCAAAACTACCTCATTCAGATGATGAGTTGACTTTGACGGAAGTTTAGTAACCTCTAATCCAAGGGCTTCAATTTTTGAACGCAATTCAACCTCTTCTTCGTTGGTCAATGCTTCAACCTGCACAATATAAGTTACAGAAAATGTTATTTTGATGGAAAGTCTCTTTTAGGTAAAAGTGAAAGGAAAACATTCAGACAAGCATCAAAAGGTAGCACCAAAACGAAGACAACATGGATCAGACCCTGATTTAGAAAAGTGTAATTCAGCACCAGACAAAAGGAATGTTGTCATCCCATTAAAGCCCACAGCGACCCTCTTCTCCCAATAAGGTGATGCTTTCAATACTTGAGAACAAAGATGAAAGGATAAAGGAATCATGTAGCATACCAATCCAAGGCTTTGGTGCACTTGCAATGCTACTACATTCATGAATAAAAACACAATCTCCAAGCAAGGCTATGAGAAGGTTCTTATGACTGAATTTTCCAACCAATACCCCCAAAATTTGGCTGCAAGTCTTGCCTTATATTTTCATTAACTGTAAAAATTCATTATAATCATATTATAAAACTTCATTATAGTCTTTCATATTATATTAATACCAATGACCCTCAGAAGAACGTATAAAACTTCCTTTTCACATCAAGGAATTTATAATTAAACCATTTTTCTTGGCTATGCAAACTTTACAATCTGAAACCTTCCTTGGAGTGAAAGGTATGAAGGAGAGGTGATAATTCGTACCCAAAAATAAAAAACAAAGGATTAGGAAAAAGAAGCATATATATTAAACGGGTAAGGATCATTTCTATCAATAAAACAAAAATATAGACCCGTGCAGTTACTCTTAAAAAACGGGATATCTTTGTGTTTTATTTCAATTTCATGGCACCCACATCCCTTGAGGCTTTCTCCTTGCTACTTATACCATTAATTTAATAGAAAATGAATCCTGTGCAGGGTGTATAACACTCATTCTTTACCCATTCACATCCATCACGAAATCACAACAATCCAGGCCCTAGATCCCCTTAATATCCAAACAAACTCAACAAAACAAAATTTGAGAGAGTGACAGATAAAACTTACTCCGTTAGATACGTCCTAATAGGTCCTATAGCAAACAACATGGGCATAAGTGTCATAAAATCACAAGAATGATATTGCTTCGTAACAAGCGTACACTTGTGTATCTTCCCCATCAATGGGACTTTTGGTCCCACAAATGACATCATCTTATTCACCCTCAGAAGATAAAGCTAGCCCAGACTGTCCTACTTGCTTTTCAAATTTCAATAGAAAAGAAGAAGGATTTGGCATCATTACTACCAAGAAAGAGGCAGTGAACCTCAGTATCAATCTCAAATGCTGACCTTAAAAATTTTCTTTCAATTTTCTCTTTAGGATTTCAGTCACCTCTTTTGCATTGAGTTAAACTACAATAACTTATGCAATTAACACATAACGCGCTTGACATGGTCCAGAATCTCTTCCAGCGCTCACCTCTTAATCAGACATCATGTTGAAATGATTTCCTACATACGTCCATGACAAGGTTCCTTTTTTAACAAAGATGTACAACATCCTCAGAAGAGACATTTTTTTTTTTTGGTTACAAAGATGGCCATATGGGATGGGGGAGAGGGGGGGCGGGGGTTCAAACACTGCCCTTAAGTGTGGGGGTAAATGTTCACTACCACGGAAACTACAAGCTCTCACATTGTGTTACAGCATCACATTGCATAACAGTTTAGACGGGTACGACTGTCTTCAATGTTATCTTTAGCATACTAAGCATGAGAGAATATGGTTTTATGGAGGCATTTAGAATCATATAACCCAAGTACTCAATAATCAACTAACACACAACAAATGGCTAACAATGACATCTATTAAATTATCAAATGTTTCTCAAGAGAATCCAAATCAAGCCAAAAATTAAGGACCCACGTGCCCTAGCAAAACACATCCTAAAAAGCAAACTTTGACCTACGAATGGGAGATATCCAAACTCAAGGAACAAATATTACCATCCAGACACCTTAGAACACCACAAACTCAAACACCCAGATCATAAATTTCATCAAGACAAAACATAAAACGGTTCTCTGCCATAACCAGATGATTATAACCATGTTCCTATTCATAATTATGACATATGAAAACCGAAAAGAGAAGTTAGAGAACATACAAAAGCAAAGCGAAGCAAATCAAATCGGGCAAAATTGAATGAAATAACGGGTGAATTTGGAAAGAAGAGGATATTAACACCTGTTGGAGGATACCAGAGAGGAGCTGAAACAGTTGTGCATCTGGCTTCCCTTCCGCTGCCATGGGATGGGATCATATGTGTTTGTTGGGATCTTTTTCGTTTTTGCTTCTGTTTTCAGCTCGTTCCTAGGGAAATTATATGGGCAGCCGAAAATTTGCTTTGAGCACTCAATCATATATGTCCAATATTTATGATATTCGAGCATTGTCAAACCGCAAATACCGACAGAGGTTTTACCACATCTAAATTGACCTATCATGAAAATTGACCGCAACAAGCGGTTTATAAAATCGGCTGCAATATGCGGTTGCGGACTTGCAGTTTTGGTTGCACATATCCAAATAATTTAGTATACATCAAACCGCAATATAATTTAATTAATTCTTAAAATAAATTCTTTATATTATTTTATATTAACTAATAGATGCTAAGACAACATCATTTAGATGAACCTAAACCCTAAACCCTAATGAATCTTTCTCTTATCTCTTATCTCTTTTTTTTCTTTTTACTCTCTCTCTCTCTCCGTAGGACTCACCTAGGCTTTGAATGTCTAATTAAGTGTATTCTCCGTCAATCTCTTGAAGTTCCTTCTATTGTTGTTTTTAAATCTTAGCCTTAAAGAAATATCATTTCAATATTTAGTGAATTAATATAACTTAATTAGTAAATAATTAAACTTTTATCTAGTAGAAACCTTTGTTTCAATTAATATTGCAAACTCATCGGTTGTGTTGGTAATTTTGTTAAGTTGTTATTAGTGGGTTAGCCGAGATAATTTCTAGCTTGCAATCAACTATTTGGTTAATTAATTGTGCATTCGCATGATTGTGGATTGTATTGGTTTTTAATAATAAAGTTCATTATCTATGTATATGAGTTAAAGAATCATTGCCAATGATAGAAAGTTCTACTTATTTCAGCAGTATTTTTAAGCATGAACATACTCTTTTTTTTGTTGATAGAAACTTCTGTAATGTTATGTTGTTCCATATATCGATAACTGTTGTATACCGACATGCGGTATAATGCAATATATCAATCGGTTCACGGTTTCATTTGCGGTAACCGAACCTCAACCACCCCTAGTCAATCACATCTAAAAATACCAACCGGTCTAACTAAGTGGAAATGACCTTTTTCATTTTTTTTTATAAAAAAATTTGACCTTTTGATACAAATGATATTTGGAAATGACCTTTTTCATTTTTTTTTATAAAAAAATTTGACCTTGATTTTTAGACAAATGGTCTAAAGTTCAAACCCCTATAACACCTCGATAGCGTGTGTGAGAAACCCTCTCCCTCTTTTTATTTTAAATCAAATTTGACACATGTATTTAAATTATATACACATAGAAATTAAAAGCAATAATTTTTTCCATATAAAAATAATATACTCTTTTGATACAAATGATATTGGGGGGGGAATCAACACCTTGAGTGCAAAGATAAAAATAGTATATTTTTAATTAACCTGAAAGTCATCATTCCACAATACTAGTACCAATTCTCTCAACAACAACAACAACAACAAAAAAAAAAAACAAACAAAAAAAACCAATACAAATTCTCCCTACATCGAATGGCTCTAAGCCACATAATAGATGAAGGAACACGTGCATGACGCCAGACTCCCCAAAATGGGAGAAAGATTTTTATGAAATGGGTATAGCACTATTTTGATATCCCAACCAATAAAGCTATGGCATGTGTGATAACACTTCCACGTGACATAACATTATTGGCCAGAGATAGTAAAACAGTGATATCCTCTTTGCAACTAAGTTTTTCTCCCAAAATGAGCTAGTAGGTGTTAAGTGGCTTGTCTCGAATGGTTAGGATCCAACCATTCAGCGGATGCCATGTCAGAGAGTACTCAAGAAGTCCACATTGAAAGATAACATAAGAGGCAAAACTCTTATCCATTTATAAAATCATCGTACTACTTGCATAAAGAAGGTACACCAACTTCTTCCACTTTAAGCCTTTGCTACTTTAGGGTAAAGTAATACTCAAGCATCATAGATTTTAATGTGGAATCAACATCATTTTTTTTAAAATTTTTTATGTGACAGTAAATGCAAGGGAAGTTAAGAATTAGAATCATTCTAATACTTCAAACTGTGAGATAATTTTTATTATTGTTCTAATACTCATATGTTAGTACACACAATAGTAGGAATTAGAGTCATTCCAATATTCTTTGATAATAAGTAACCATGTTATTCATTTCTTTAATGTTGGTGGCCCTCATGAAGAATGACAACTCGGCTTCTCGGAATCTTGGAAAAGAAATCTATTCATGACAAGTAAACATATTTAGATGTTGCTTCTTCTTGAAAATTAATCATGGTAATGTTTTTACTTGCACTAACAAATTGCCTTACTCACATCAACATTTAAAAAGTACATTTTACTGGAAAAAGGTTACCTTTCAAAATTCACATTAGGAAATAGAAAAGTGGATTTTCAATATTAGATTAGATTTGTTTTTAATTTTAAGTGATTATCAGTTTGGTATTACTTCTAAAAGGATTAATAATGTTTTTTTGATAACTAAAAGCATTTCTCAAGATATTTGGCAAAAAACCTTAAAAATGATTTATAAATCATGGAAGTGTCTTATGAAGAAGTACAGCGGAATACTTTTCCCAAAAGTAGTTATGATCAAAATTGCATTAGGCCATACATCATACATCATGCCATCAATCATACATGTTGGTCTCATCCCATTATTTGTCATTTTTCGTGCTCATGCTGCTTTCTTGAGCAGATAGAGTTTATCTTGCTGATGCTAACATATCCCTAACTTTTGATTTTTTTTGTTTATTATTTAATTTAATCAATCGCTTTCTAATCGACTTTTTATCTTGCTACGTGTATATGAATAAATGCTACATATATGAGTTATAAAATATAATAAAGTTAGGGAAATAATATGGTTCTTCAAAATAAAAAAAAATAAAAGTGAGATTTTTGAAGTGCAAATTTGTGCTTAAATAAATACCATTCAACTTCCAATATCATTTTATTACTGTCATTTCTTAAATTCCACATAAATAACATCAAAATATTAAAATTTACAACTGACGAAATTTGAAATGATATAATTCGAAATTCGATCATTCAAACACACTGTCATTGTCAATGTGACTATAAAAAATGTGTCATTGTCAATGTGACTATAAAAAATGTGTTAAGGTATGAAGATTCTAGGGCGGAAAATTTAGATTTTTTAATCAAACCTTAGCGCGGAAGATACTTTACACAGCCAAAATGTGAATATAATATATTCAACTCCTTTTGGTTGTGCTAAAAGACTAAAAAAGAGGGTTTTTTTTTCCTTGCAAAGATAAAAAAGGGTCGTTTCATGAGGAACTGTTAACTATAATTTATATGTCGTCGTCAAGGGAATGGGGCCATCCATGGCATGTATAGCCATGTAGCTCTTTCTTGGCAAGCTTATCTCCGGAGATGATATGATTATAACATTGAAAAGAGCTTGCTTTAATATTAATTATAATTATTTGATGCGAAAGTAAGCAGTTGCAATACAAGGTTTTGTGCAAAGGACATGATAAAGAAAGAAGAGCTATCCTGACTGGCAAGTTTTTGAGATTGAAAATTTCCATTTTTGATGGCCTTGTAATTAAAATTTCATGGCTATTTGGTCAGTTTACACATTTAATCTTTTAATTGGCCCTGGTGGTCTACGGCTTGCTGGCTTCCTGTTTTTGGCCTTCTTATTCAAATTTGCCATTTTGCGTTTTGCGGTTTGCTTTCTGGGGCATGTATGTACACTGTACACTGTACACTGTACACATGTGCGTACTGGATATTACCAGTCCGACCCTCAGTCACCTCACCACCGACCTTTTTTCTGTTTTTTATATCATATTTTCCATATCAGACTGTCCAGTGTCCCAGAAAAAGTATCAAGATCGCAGAGGGGAGAGAGAGAGAGAGAGAGAGAGAGAGAGAGAAACACTGTTACGTGATGACGTGGCGCGATTTCATTGGGTAATGGGGACCCAGTGCCTTGACTTGGAGAGGGAGAGAGAG